GTGCTCCTCTCAGGTGTGCCCCAGGGTGGGGACTGGGACACGCTCCTTCCCCTCTAGGGGGCGCTGGCTCTGACCCGGCCCCAGGGCAGGGGACTGGCTGGCTCAGGGGGGCGGGGAATGGGACACGGGGCCGTCAGTTTGGCTCCAGCCCCATAGACTGGGGGTTTAAGGCTTTTCCGAGCTGGGGGCCCTGGGGGAAGTGGGTTGGGCTGGGGCGTCTCCAGGCCGCGAGGCTGAGTGGGGCTCACCCCCTGGCCATGCTGGAGGGCGGCTTGCCCCGGGCTCTGGCTTTCCTGGGGCTGAACGGGGGTTGCCCTTGCCCTCTCCTGGCGCTGAGGGGCCGAGTCCTGCTGCTGGGAGCTCCATCAGAGCCCGAGTGCCACGGTGCCTCCCCCACATCCCATTGGTGGGTGCTGCCAGGCTCTGGCCCCTCCCTTAGGGCTGCAGACACACTGGCCTTGGTGCCCCCTCCCTGCCCAGCCGGCCGAGCCCCGTGCTGCCCTTAACGCTGTGGACCCCCCCCCAGGCGGCTGGCAGGACCAGATCACCTACCCCCACCACGCCCGCAACCTGCGGCTCTTCGCCCAGATGCTGCGGCGGAACGGCTTCCGGCAGGAGCACATCAAGGCCTTCTTCGCGGGCGATGGCCAGGCGCCAGGTCAGGGCCTGCGGCCCCGGGGGCGGCTGGGGGCTCGAGTGACTCCCTGGGGGGGGGATGGGTACCAGGCCATGGGGAACCCCTGTGAGTCACCCCCCGACCCCTCCAGCAGGGGCTAACTGGGACTTTGGGCACCAGCGCTGGCCCCGACGCTGGGTCTCTGCGCTGCCTCCAGGTGTGGGGTGGAGACCCCGTGGACTGGGCCCAAGTGACTCAAGGCTTAGGGCACTGACTGGCACAGCCCCTCCCCCCCCCTCCTGCAGTTGGCACCAACCTTCTCCCTCCCCCATTCAGCCCTGCAGGGCAGGGGCGAGGTGGGGCAGTACCAGGCGCAGGGGGATGAGCTTGGTGCAGGAGGGGGCTGGGCGGGGACATGGGCAGAGCGGAGACCAGGCCAGAGGCATGACGCAGGGTGTGGTGACAGTTGGGGCTGTAGCGGCCGGCAGGAGGTGGCTGGGGGAGGCCCAGGAAGCCGGGGGGGGGCTCTGGGCGGGCGCTGCCCGAGGCCTCACTGCTGGGTGTCTGTGCCTTCTGCCCCCAGTGGCCGCGGAGGTGGGCGACGTGTATCCAGCCACGGAGAAGCTGCTGATCCGCACCCACCTGGCGCTGGTGTGCCGCACGCGGCACTGTGCCGACTCGCTGGTGCTTTACCTGAACAGCCCCACCCGGAGCGACGGCACCATGCTGCTCTGGGACACCAACAAGAACGGCATCGTGAGTGGGGCGCTGCGCGGGCACCCCCCAGCTGGGTTCCCGGCCCCCACTGCCAGGCTGTGCCCTCGCCCGGCCTCCCTGGGGCAGTGGGGCTCTCTGCAGCCAGGGGATGCGGGGTGACTCCTGGCTCTGGGCGTCTCCCACGGCAGCTGGCTGCCCCCCGCGGCGGGGCTGAGAGAACCAGGCGCCCCCCCATTGATCTCCAGGTGGAGGTGAGCTCGCTGCCCTCCCCCCTTGCCTCTGATCTGCTGCACTTCAAAGGCCCCGGCTTGGCGCTTTCATCTGCGCTGGGTGGGTGGGAAACCCCCGCCCTAATCCCCCCTTTCAAGTGCTGGGCTGCTGGAATTCCCTTGATCTCCTGCCTGGAGTCTCCGAGCAGCTGGTGTTTGGGGGGGGGGCCCCCCCCCGTGCTGTGGGCAGGCGGGGGGAAGGGCACTGATGGGCACGCTCTCCCCCCCCCCCCGCAGGCCGACCCCAAGGAGCGCTACCCTGTGGCCGAGCTCCTGGCCGACCTGGAGGGCTGCAGCGCCCGCAGGGTCTTCCTCTTCCTCGACCAGAGCTACCCGGGCCCGCTGGCCAAGAAGCTGCTGGCGTCCGGGCGGCACGGGAACGTGGTGCTGGTGAGCGGCCAGCGGGGCTCTGACTTCGCCCGGGGCTCGGCCTTCAGCGAGTTCTGGGCTCGGCTGCAGCCCGACCAGTGCCTGCTGCAGCACCTCCTGCAGGTGGGTCCGCGGGGCGGGGGGGCAGCGCCGCGGGGGAGGTGGCACCAAGCCCCACAGGAGATGCCCACGGTGCAGGCCCATGCCTGCCTTGGAGCTGCCCCTTGGGCATGTCGGGGGGGGGGTGGCCCTAACCTCCAGCATGCGGGGGCACGGCTGGTACAAGTCTGGGGCACCGACACCAGCGGCTGCCCTGTCCCTGGGGTCCCCCCTCCACTGGGGATTGGCACAGGGTGGCAGCATGTCCAGGGAGTGGGTGTCGTGAGCAGCCTCTGGTGCCCGGGCCGGGGCTCAGGACAGCTCTGGGCACCCACCCGGGGGACTCCCAGAGCAAACTGCACCCCCGGGAGCCCCCTCGGCCCTGACGCTGCCTCCCTTGCTCTCCCAGGCGGGCCCGCGGGCAGCCGGCTCCTCTCCAGGGGCCACGCTGCAGCTGCTCAACGTGACCCTGGCCGGGGCGCCCTGCCACAGCACCCCAGCGCTGACGGAGGACGAGCGCCGGAGGGAGTTCCTGGGCTGCCAGAACCTGCCCACCATGCTCTGGTACCAGGCCGCGCACACGCAGCAGCAGCAGGACGACGACTGAAGCCAGGTCCCCTCCCTGGGTCCTGCTCCCTACTGAGCCCCCCACGCCCGCCCAGAGCCAGCCACAGGGGCCGTGCCCCCTCCCAGGCATCAGCCACAGCCTCCCGCAGCGCCAGGCCCAGCTGGGCTGAGCAGCCAGGGGCGGGGGCGGGAGGGCAGTGCTCGGGCTCTGAAAGGGCCCCCGGCGCGTGCCAGGCGGGGGCAGGGGGGGACCCGCTGTACGGAACCCGCTCCCTCAATAAAGAAGCAGTTCTGGCCGCCCGTGTGGAGCCGTTTAACCCTCTCAGCGCCTGCCCCGGACACCGGGGTTCTGCACATGCTGGCGTTCCTGCTGCACAGCTGAGAAGGAGGGCTGGGCAGGACTCCTGGGTTCCATTCTCAGCTCCCCCGGGGGCACTGTCCCTCACTAACTGGTTAACACCTGAAAAGCGCTTTCAGATGCCGATTGTGCAGTGTGGCGTCTTCCACGCTGCTCCTGTGAGAACTGCGCAGGGTCGGCTCTCGCTGGGACCCCAGCGTGTCTGGGGCAGGGACCCTGAGAACGGCGCTGGGGGACCTGCTGAACTCCCTTCCCCCAGGAGCCTGGTCTGGAGCTGGGCCGGGCCTGGCCTCCCCCCCCCCCCCCGACAACACGGAGCCGGAGCCCAGAGCTGGCCACAACAGTTTACAAGATTCAGCAACAAGAGACATCAAATCAAAACTTAAAAACCAACCAACCCCCTGCTCTGCGCCCCCAGTGCCCTGCCCCTTAGTGCCCCCCTCCAGGGCTCTGTCCTGGGGGGCAGCACCTCCACCCTCCCCAGTGCTGCCGGGAGCCTCCCGTAACAGAGCAGTGCCCTGGGACACGGCCAGCCAGAAGGGCTCCCCCCCGCCCTGCTCACGGGCAGCCTGGAAGCGGCCCTGGAACCGGGCCAAGCTGTAGCAGCAATGCTGGGGGTGCGCAATCCCAGCATGCAATGCTCTGCCGGCTGCACCGTCACCCCCCATGCCAGGGGCGGGTGGGGGTGGGGCGGTGGGCTGCACGTGTGCCCAGCCGGGATCCAGGCTCACAGGGGGTCCCTGGGCCAGGACGCGGCTCGCCCAGTTTGGCCGCTCACTGTACAGCAGGAAGCGTGGTGCGGCCGCGCCCCGGGAGCCAGCCCCCCGCTGCCCCACTGCTCCAGGAAGGTGCCGCAGCTCTGAAACAAGCCGAGATAACGCAGCCGGGGGGCCTGGCGTGCCGACCGATGCCAGGGCAGCAAACTGCAGCCACGGCGCGGGGGCTGGGGGCAGCTCTGTGCTGCTGGCGCTGCCCGAAGTCCCCTGGCTCCCGCCTGCGCTCACGGACCCTTCCTGGGGGCCGCCGGCAGCTTCTCGGAGCTGCGGTCCTTGCTCTCCGTGTCGGAGTCGGACGCGTCCCCCGCCTGCTGCTGCTGCCACATCCCGGCGTAGACGCCACCCTTCTGCAGCAGCTCCTCGTGCCTGCGGGAGAGCCGGGGCTCAGGGGCTGCAGCTCCAGCCTGCCCTGCCCCGGGCGCTGCCCAGCCCAGCCCAGCCCAGGGACCAGCTACCCCCCTCTATGCCCTGCCCTTCTCCCCGCTGAAGGGCTCTGCCCAGCCCAGGGCACATTGGCGAAGTCCCCACCCCTGCCCAGCAGCCGACGGACCCAAGCTGTGTCCATCCCACCAGGCAGGAGCCACCCGCCGTGGCCAGCATGGCACCAGGGAGCAGCCGGGCACCTGGTGCCAGCCCACGGGCAGCTGCATCTCCCAGGGTGGGCGTGGGACCCGCCTGCGGTTGCGTCGGTGCGTTACCTTCCGCGCTCCACAATGCGCCCGTCCTTGAGAACCAGGATCTGGTCGGCGTTGACAACCGTGGGGGGCCGGGGGGGGGGGGGGGGAGACAGTACGTTACCAACACATGAGCAGAGCCCCCCGCCCCACCCACCACCAGCCACACCTGGCCCAAGGTGCCCAAGCTCCCAGGGCCTGCGAGGCCCCCGCCCAGCTTGGCACAGGGGTGCCCTGCACAGGTCACAGCCCCCAGCCCATCTCGCCACCCAGAGCGCTGCTGGCACTGCCCAGCCCATCACGTCTACGCTGCTTGCCCCACCCAGCCTGTCCTTTCAGCCCCTCTGCTCCTCCCCCACCAGGGGCACCCCGCCGAACTCGCTGGCCCCTTCCTGCACCACCCCCTCCCCACGCAGCCAGCGGTGCCAGCCTTGCCCACCCCAGCTCCCGACTCCACAGAGAGCGCAGCCGCGGGCAGCAGCACCACACGCTGCTCCGCCCCAGTGACACGGCCTCCTGCGGCCTGCCCAGCCTCGCCGGCTCCAGGACCCGTTGCCAGCTCCGGCGCCCGGCCAGCCACGGCACAGCAAGGCCCTCGGTCAGCGTCACCATGGGCTGGGGACGCCCCGCCTCTCCTGCCAGGGGTCAGGGTGGGACCCTGCCCCACGCTCCGGACTGGGCTGTGGCCCCCACTTCTTGCCTTTGCTCACTGCCCACCTTGCCCCCCGGGGCAGACACTGCAGACGTGCCCAGCGCCCGCAGAAGGGCACCAACACCCCATGTCCCAGCTCCGTGGGCGGCCCTGTGCAGCCAGGCCCAGCGGCTCATGGGGTGACGCTCCCTCCCCCCCGTCCCCCGGCCAGCACACGCCGTGGGGCCAGGCCCGGCGAAGAGGGAGGCCCAGGCAGGATTATGGATCAAAGGGGTCTGGCTCCTTCTCAGCGGGCAGCCGGGCCCGCCCAGCCCAGCTCACACCATGTGTTTCTCATCGGAGGAGGGGGCAGTGACAGCTGGGCTCTGTCCCCCCCCCCACACACGGGAGCCCCCCAGCAGACACGGGGCTTTGGGCAATGCTGACCCCCGCCCAGGCTGGATCCCGAAGGACGGGGGCTCCGAGCACCCCCCTTCCTCAGCTGCTCTCCACCCATTCGCACGGGAGACCCCTCCCCAGACAGACACCAGCCAGAGCCCGACCCATGGCAGCGACCCCCCAGCTCGCACGAGGTGCCCTGTTCCCCCAGCATGTTGGGCCCCGCTGACCCCTGTGCCAGCCCCCACTCTACTAGGGCTGTTCAGAGCCCCGCCCCGCAGTGTGGCACTAGGGGGCGCTGTGCTGCAGGGAGGGGGCACTAGGGGAGTTCCCCCCCCCCCCCCGCAGTCAGTGTCGGCCCCAGTGTGGCACTAGGGGGCGCTGTGCTGCAGGGAGGGGT